CATTACACTAACTTTGAAAAAGATTTATCACTCTGTCAAAATTTAAAGAGCAAATAATCATTATTAGTATATAGAGTTGTTATTAAATAAATTACTATGGATCCAGTGATGTTAAAACTAGAGAATCCTGACTTTACACAGTAATACTAGGCACTGGGTAATATTTACTATGTCACTCGAGTAACTTATTAGAGTTTACTTCATTTGAAAGGACAAAACCTATAGCGATGGCCTTGTTTCACATTTACTGTAACATTGTTCAAATGAACAAATGTTTGATATTTTTACATTTTATATTCATCTATTTTCCAGAACTAATGAAGCAAAATAATTCCTCCAGTGTCATCAATAAAGAAAACACATACATATTTCAGTAGAGTTTTGTTAATAAAGGTCTCATTCCCTCAAAATTTCCTGTTTCTCTGAATGTCAAATTCTTACGCTTTTAAAAATTATCTTAGAAGTAGTGTAGTAAACTTAACATCTCACTTATCATTGTGAGATTTATGTTTTTACTGAGAATAATAAGGCAGAGTATAAGCTTCTTTTAACCTTTAATACACAATACAAATGCCAAAATATTTAGTTTTTTTTCTTACTTTCATATTAGAGATAAAATGCTCTAACTTTGGAAAAGATTTATTACTCTCTGAAAAAGTTAAAGAGGAAATACTCCATGATTAATATGTGGAATTGTTATTAAATGAATTGGTATGGATTCAGTGCAGTTAAAGCTAGGGAATCCTGACTTTACACAGTTATCTTGTAAGCCAATTGACGTACCTTACTACCAATTGTTCCAATGAATAAAGAGGTAAAAAAAAAAATTTCCACTTGATCAGCTTTATTATGTAGGGTTGTATAAGGCATGGTCATTAATGAATTAGTGGTAACATTTATTAATTTTTTTAGGTAAAAGTTTCAAAATTTAGCAACATGGAGGTTTAAAAGAATCAGTGAAATGGCATAATGGAAAAACCTAAGTCTTCAAAAAATGAAATCAATTGTCTTATTAGAATGAAAAGTATGCTCACTCTAAGTACTCTGTCTACAGAAAAGCAAAGTAAAAACATTTTTTTTAAAGATTTTATTTATCTGTTTGACAGAGAGAGACACAGGGAGAGAGGGAACACAAGCAGGGGGAGTGGGAGAGGGAGAAGCAGGCTTCCCGCGGAGCAGGAAGCCCGATGCAAGGCTCGATCCCAGCACCCTGGGATCATGACCTGAGCCGAAGGCAGACGCTTAACGACTGAGCCACCCAGGCGCCCCAAAACATTTTAAAATTAAATTAGTTCTATTACGTTTTTGAAACATAACCTTCATTTTATTCATTTTATAGCATTTTTTGTTTTGCAAATATATATATTAATAACTTTGTGCATCATGTATTAGAACTACTAAGAATAACAGTCCTATTATTCTTTATATCACATATCTCTGTTGCCCTTATTATTTCAATTATTAGTAAATACAAAATACATCTTAATGGCATAAAAATTCCTAAACGTCTTTGTACTTCATTCAGAACTCTAACTTGGAAGTACACTTGTGTGTCTCTTAAAGATTTATTTGTTTATTTGAGAGAGAGAGAGAGAGCGCGTGAGAGAGCACGGTGGGGAGGAACAGAAAGAGACGAAGAGAAAGTCTTAAGCAGACTCTGTACTGAGTGAGGAGCCCCAGGTGGGGCTTGATCTCATGACCCTGAGATCAGGACCCTGAGACCATGACCTGAGCTGAAAAGGGTTGGCAGTTTAACCGACTGCGCCACCCAGGCACCCATTATGTGTCTTGTATTTACTAATGACATTACAAATGTTGTGGTTAAGTATATTTTGGAAGTTAATCGAGCTTGGCTTTGAAAAATACGGTGATGTATTTACAAATCCAAATGATACTCTACATTTTTTTTTAATATTTTATTTATTTGAGAGAGAAAATGAGAGCAGGGGGCAGGGGGAGGAGCAGAAGGAGGAGCTGAAGGAGAGGGACAAGTAGACTCTGCTGAGCATGGAGCCGGACATGGGGCTTGATCCCACGACCCTGAGATCATGACCTGAGCCGAAATAAAGAGTCTGACGCTTAACCAACTGAGCCACCCAGGCACCCCCACATTTATTATTCTTCATTATGTTGCTTCATTTTTCTCAGAACCGTTATGTACTTATATACATATCATACTAATGATTTTTTCTTTTGTATGATTATCTTTTATTTCAAAACAAAATAAATTCTTCATTACACATTGAATACAACACCAATTCCCATTAACAATACCCTCAGAATATATAATGAAATGGTCTAATTCTTCATATCTCCGTGACTACCACTCTGGGACATGTCTCTGTCTTCTCTTGCTTGGACTTCCAAAATGTTTCTTTGCTTCCATGCTTGTCTTCTTATTCATTTTTCATCAGAAACAGTGATCTTTGTAAATAAAGATCTTTGTAGAATAATACCAAAATACTTCTCTGCTTAAAACTCCCCAGTGGTTTCCTTTCACAGAGTATAACTTGCTTCCTGCCTGTTCTCTTTAATCTCAAACCACTGTCCTGAGTGTTCATTTTACACCATTTCCCTGAGCACTCCCATTCTTTGAACTGGCCAAATGTGTGTGAGCTGCTCACTGTTCCTTCTGGCTAGAAACTCGTGCTAGCTAAGCATGTGTGGCTCCTTTTGTCATTGAAATCCCATTTGTCATCTACTCACCTTACCTCCTCACCCTTCACTTGTTGCCATCTGTAATTATCTTTTTGATGTTGTTGGGTTTTTGTGTATCTCTTATCACTAAAATATATAAGTTTTATAAGAGCAGAGTCTTATTCACAGCTCTATCTCTTATGCATCTAGAGCAGTAGCCCTTTTGTAGTACGTTCTTTCAAATAATGTGTCATAAAAATACTTCCCCACGAATGAGGGTCTTCCTGTAGGGTGGGAGTAAAATAGAAGACTACTAGGAAAATTAATTTAGATGAAATTCAAAGTTACAACATTAATCTGAATGCTCTTCAGCCATCAGACAGGAAATTTAGAGATTAACAAGCCAGACAGAAGCATCACCGGATGTCTCAATATAGAAATTTACCCTTTCTCAAAATAGAGTTCAGAGCATCACGCTGAAAGGACATGAAATTAAAACAAACAAGTAAAACAACAATAACAAAGTACTGTATAACGTTCTCCTTGAACAGGCTTGAATTATTTTACTCTGTCCATCCTTTGACTCAGCTCAGAAAATATGGTGTCTTCCTTGGCACCTCCTTTTCTCTCACAGCCTTAGTCCAACCATCAGTACATCTTGGCAGGTGTATCCTCAAAATTTATCCACAATTCATCTACTTCTCCATATCTCTGCTGGTAGCGCCCTGGCCCCCACTGTCATCTCTCACCTAAAGTTTCGCAAGAGTTCCCAGTGGGTCTGCCTGCTTCAACTCTTGCTTCACTTCAATCTATTTTCCACATAATGCACAGTCATTTGTTTAAAAAGTGTAAGTCCAATATCACTTAGCTCATTATGCTCCAGTTCTGCCCCTCGCACTTAGACCAAAAGCCAAACTCTTTACAGTGGCCAAAATCTTTGATTTTATGCTACCTTTCTGGCCTCATATCCAGCTGTGGCTACCTCACCATTCTTGGAGCTCGCTAAGCATGTCTCCAACTTCAAGGCCTTTTCACTTGTCATTTCTCCTTCCTGGAACACTCCCTGCCCCAACTCCATTTCCACCTGGTTTGCTTCTTCATTTTCTTTATATACAATGAATGACATTTACCATCAAATAATGTATATATGTATTAGAAAATAGTGAAAACCTTGTTTTAGATGTGTGGTCTAGCTTAGACAATGGATTCTTGAGTCAGAATGTTTAAGTTGAAAAACCAGCTCTACCACTCTAAATTTTCTCTTAAGTTTTCTACTGTAAAATCCTTGCCTGGCTCATAGTAAATGCTCAGTTAACACCATTATTATTATTTCGGTATGATACCTGCCTAATATTTGTAATTATTGAGACATAGCTACAAGTGGGCTAAAAATATAATTTGCATATTATTTTTCCACTGGAAAGTATATCTGAAATTTTTTCTATGCTGCTAAATAGCCTAAAATGGCAAAAAATAATTTTGAGTCCTATTTATATTATGACATGTAATAGAGACACCATAACTTAACTACTACTCCATCATTTTAAATTGTTTAGCTTCCATTTCTCTTTTATTACTGCATTGCAATAAATATTCCTTCTTTTATGTATTAAGATTTTTTTAGTATAAATATATGGATTCATGGATGTAAGATTGTTGGTCGAAGTAGCCATTTGATATTAGCCTCAAGAAAAGTAAACTAAATAAATAATGTCCAAGTCACTTCTTTAATTTCATATGATTTTAAATTTTTGCATTAAAAAGCCATTCACTCACATTGCTTTTTATAACAAGAAAGAATTAAGTATATCGTAAGAAAACAATAGAACATAAGAAACTATAATTAATTAACCTTTTTCTTTAAAAACTAAGAAATAACTTTGTGTCTGCTGAATTGGTGTTCATAGATAAAGAATAACACAATGACATTGTTTGGAAGTAACATGTGTGCACACAATGATGTGCCCCTAAAAGTAATGATAACAAGAAAGAAACTGAATTTTTAATTTCAGCTCGAGACTCTTGCACCTGTTTGATCATTTGGCAAAGCTGCCTTTCTGTTGTTCAGGAGGCAAAGTGACTGATTGATCCACTTACCCTACTGTTAACCCATTCTGCAGAGAACTTCTGTTTATAGCCTTGCCAGATGAATACTATACTGCTGAGAATTAAATGACCCCAGTGTAATGAAACCTAGCTATAAAGATATGAGGCATTGATTAATTTCTTTCCTATTTAATATAAGGCTGTTTTTCCGGTATTTTACTCAACTGAATAGATCAAAATCTGTAAAAAGCCAATCTGTAATAAGTCAGATTGTATATTAAAAAGACATACTTATTATTCTCTTCTCTAAATTTCAGTATAAAGAACGTAACTCCTAAGGTAGGAGACCCTGAAACCCGCAAAGCTATTCGCCGTGCCTTTGATGTGTGGCAGAATGTAACTCCTCTGACATTTGAAGAAGTTCCTTACAGCGAATTGGAAAATGGCAAACGCGATGTGGATATAACCATCATTTTCGCATCTGGTTTTCATGGCGATAGTTCTCCCTTTGATGGAGAGGGAGGGTTTTTGGCACATGCCTACTTCCCTGGACCAGGAATTGGGGGAGATACTCATTTTGACTCAGATGAGCCATGGACACTAGGAAATCCTAATCATGATGGTAAGTGCATTGCATAGCTTTTTACATTGCAAATAGTTGTTTTATTTTTATTTTTGGAATGCCCAAGTGATTTAGTAATTTAAAAACTTTTAAGGTGTTGATTCTAAATTTGTTTTTAAAATGATAAAACATGATAAAAGGCTTTTTGATAACATTTTAGAACAAGAATTTGTATGGGTCAGTAGACATTACTAGTTTTTTGTGTGGTCTGTTGCCTAGAGATTAGAACTTTACACTGTGTTCTGTAAATAGAATGAATTTTGTTTTCTATAAAATGTCACTTAAAAGACTTCATAGTATTTTAAGTCATGGAACATGCTTAAGGAAATTCTGCTATTTTTCTACACTATATTGCAGTGTTTCCACTTAAAACTTAACCTGATTGACATTTGTAGTGTAGCTTCTGCCATCTTTCCTGTTCTTTTCTATTATCACCTTTCTAGTTTGTAAAATTTTGCTCCTTTCATCCTTATTTCGCTTTTCTTGGTCTCCCAATATGATATGACTACATAATTTATTATTTTTATATTATATCTTTATTTTTATCAAAAAACCACTTTCTGCCAATCTGTTCCAACAAATCTGTCAGATTTTTAATCTTTATTCTGATATGCAAAAATAAATTTAAAATAACTTGATAACTAAAAGAATAGTTACTTCGTATAAGAAGCATGCGTTTCTTCCTAGATGACAATCCATACTTCAATTTTATGTTTAAAAAGTGTTCACATAATTATAGGATCCTAGAGTTAGAAGATTCCTAAGCATCCACTTCTTTTAATTCTTGTAATCAAGACTTAAATATTTTTCTTCCTCACCATAGTAGAATTTTGTTGAAAATACAGCATGCATTGTTTTAGTGACAGCTAATCAGCTAATAAAACTCTTAATTCCTCTTGATGAGTTAAACCCAGCCATCAAATTAAGCTTTGTTAGTTCATCAGAAAGTTTAGTTAGCGGGATTAGTGTAATAGCCTTGCATTTTGAGAATGCACAGGGTTCAAACATATTATGGGTAGAATGAAATAAGTTGAGTTAAATTTAAAATAACATCAATTTTCAAAGAAAGAAAATATAATAAATACCTGTTCCTGTTTTCCAAAAGAAAATAAAACATCTAGTATTCAATAAAATGGCCTTTTGCATTATTATTAATAGGTATATTGACTGAATTTATGACTTCATTTTTAAGAACTGATTTGGAGACAAATGGCAAGTATGTTGAGAGATTTCACTATATAGTAGTGTAATGAAAGCCAAAAACTTTGAAGTTGAGCAGGCTGCATTCAATTCCTGGCTAACTGATCATTAGCTCAAGAAGCCTCTACCATGCCGTATGCTTATTTTCACTCTGTATGTTGTATTGCAGGGCTGGGACATTGCAAGTAGACATGCTTTCTATTCAGGAATGTTTAACCTACTGTATGCCTGAGCATCCAATAATAAAATATCTGCAATGTGATAGTAGGCCCACACTGGTTTGATACATAAGTCATTTAAAATTAAATGTGTTTATCTTATTTTTAAAAATTTTTTTTATTAAGTGGGCTCCACACCCAACATGGGGCTCAAACTCATGACCTTGAGATCAAGACCTGACCTGAGATCAAGAGTCGGATGCTCAAGCGATGAGCTACCCAGGCGCCCCTATCTTATTTTTATCAAAATTACACAGGCATTCTAATGAAGTAGTTCAGACATCTTCAAGTCAATTGTTAATATAAATGTTTGCATTCTAAATGATTGAGAAGAATAGCACTTATAAAGGTAGAATTTTGCTGATGGAGGCAAAACTGCATTTGTTTCTGGGAAAAGACTTCTTCTGGAATTCTAAACAGAGAAAATTATTTTTTATTCCAGTAATTATAATTCCAAAATTATATTTTATTCTAATAATAGATCTGATTGTTAAGGCTACTATAATTCTGGATCTTTGAAGTTGTGTTAATTTGGGTGATGGTGCCTATCAAATGGCCTATATTTTCTCTTAAAATATTGAAATCCTTAAGAAAGCTGCATATGTTTTTTATCCTCTATTAACTGCATTTTTTAGGTATCAAGAAATACTTTTTGAAAATAAACAAAAAACTTTAAGAAAAAATCTATAGGGACATCTGAGTGACAGGAAATGAGAATGTTTACACTGATTTAAGTATGATTGCTCCTTATGAATGCTTCTGTGTTTTGCACAACTTAAGAGGTTTTTAAGGAATATATATGTGAGATAGAATTGAAATAGAACATATGAGCTAAAGATATACAATCATGCCAATGGACTTTTGACTCAGGTTATGTATTAATACAATTTATACTGTAGAAGTATAATAATTTTTGTACATAGGCATACTGTTAAACAAAACAAATTATTTAATAATTAGTGTTTCATTTGGAAGAAAATATTTCTTTACTGATCATATAAACATATTTTTTTCTTTTGAGTGAGCGTAAGGAAAATGACTACAAAATCATAGTGTTTCAGAATTGTAGGGGATTAGGGAGAAGTTACTGTCTGTTCAAGATGTAATACCATAAAGATTTACTGCTTAATTGAAATTCAGACTTTTAACTAGCAACAGCAGGACAGCTAAGGTGGTGTCATACTGAAGTATTGATCATTTATCAAAAGAACAGCCTCTAGCTTTGCTGTGTTACTGGTGCCTGTGGGGAGAATTAATGCATTTGTACATCCTACATCCTGTCTGTAAGATTACCTTTTTGTATCACATACATATAAGGAACAATTCTGACATCTTCATTGATAAACTTCTTTTTTTACTCTAGTCCTCAAATGCCCCCAAGCTTACTTAACTGAAAAATTTTCTTTCTTTCCTATTCACAGCTCTTAAGCACCTAGAAAACAGAGCAGCTTGATAATTTAGGAAAAATGCAAATGAAAAGAGCCTCTTGATAAGTACCCAGCTCATTTTCCACAGCATATTGCTCAGCTAATGAAGGCAATTTGAATTCTGTCTGCCTCAAAAGAGATAAACAGTGTCTTGGGCTGCCAGTAACCTTTAATTCATTGTTACCCACTTTCCTATCAATTTGCTTATAGTCATGATACCTTTCAAAAACTCAAACTAAAACCCATTAAGTAAACTACACAATAATCATATTAAAATAAATAAATACATCACACACACACACACACACACACACTCCCCCACCTAATAAAAATAATGCCACTTTTTTCTAAGAGTTTTTTTTTTTTCATGAAGTGGATAAGCAAAACATATGCATAGTAATTCTAAATAGAAAATGTTACTGTGATATGTTTTTTTTTAAAAGTATACATTGCCTAAAGTGAGTTGGAAAATTTAACTCTAGCAAAATGTTAAGATTAATTTTGAGCATCATTATCATATTGTTTCCTTGGCTACGGTATAAAGTTTAAATGGCACTATCAGTGTAAACACAAACTTACCACAAAGATTCTAATTAGACAAGTATGTACTGCAGTAATAAGATTTCAAATTGATAATCTCTAAGCAAAAAGGTTACCTATTAAAATGTTATATAAAACTACAACAGAAAAATATCTAGAAGCAAGTCTTATTATACCATAGAGTTGCAATTCTATTAACAGGAAGAATACATTGCATTGGCTCTGTTTATTATCAGAAAAATCACTGCCTGCAGTAAGAAGATGATCAGGAGGTACTCAAGGCTGTTGTGGCAGTCTGCCTAAAAACTAGGGAGGGAGAAATGATGATAAAAATTGTATCAAGATATCAAAACCCTTAAATGTATTACATCATTGTGATGGTTAGTTTTACATGTCAGTTTGACTGGGCTAAGGGGTACACATATCGCAAATAAATATGATTTCTGGATGTGTCTGTGAGGTTGTTTCTGGAGGAGATTAGCATTTGATTCAGAAGACTGATTAAAGAAGATCCTCCCTCCCCAATGTGGGCAGGCATCATCCAATCCATTGAGGGCCAAAATAGAAAAAAAAAAAAGACTCTTTTCCTGAGTTGAGACACATCTTTTCCTGCCCTTGGAGACCAGAACTGGTTTTTGGGCTATCAGTCTCTGACTGAATTATACCTTTGGTTTTCCAGGTTCTCCAGCTTGCAGAAGATGGCAGATCGTGAGCCTTCTCAGCCTCCATAACCTTTTGAGCTAATTCCTATAATAAATCTCCTCCTAAATATCTGTATATATCCTATTGGTTCTGTTTTTCTGGAGAATCCTGGCTAATATAACCATTAAATGTGAAGCAGCCAAATTCTACATGTAAGCCTGCTCATTCTTTGAATAAACCTAGGTGAAGTTAAAAATCTTCATGATGTGATGCCTGAGTCAATGGACTTGATTTGTGTCGACTGGGGAGAGTTAACTTTCTGGAGGAGATATTTTGTCATTGGCACACTAGAGGTGCATTGGTGCCAAGAAGTAAACTTAGGCCTTAACCAGCTGTCTGCCATCTCCCAACTTTTTCTGCTCATTTTGCAACCGTAACTGCTTTATAATATTTTTCTGTTGCTTACAGGATCTTGACTTTCATCTTTGAGGACAGGAGAATTTGGATGCCAAATAGGTATTTAACAAGAGGCCTGGAAGTGCTATAGTGTGGGGGAATATTGTCCAGATCAATCTTTCCTGTGCTTTTTTTTTTTTTTTTAAGATTTTACTTATTTATTTGACAGAGAGAAAGAGCAAGAGAGGGAACACAAGCAGGAGGAATGGGAGAGAGAGAAGCAGGCTTCCCGCTGAGCAGGGAGCCCGATGTGGGGCTCGATCCCAGGACTCTGGGATCATGACCTGAGCCAAAGGCAGACGCTGAATGACTGAGCCACCCAGGCGCCCCTTTCCTGTGCTTTTTTGAAGATAAGGGAATCACTTGATATGACTAAGCAGTCAAGGACATTAATCTATCTTTAAAAACAGAGTACTTACTGAGATTTTAAAATCTAAAAATATTAGCTTTCTACCACACAGTTCTTACCTTACCATGTTTTACCAAAACTTGGAAGCTCTCTCTCTCAAATTAACTT